CACACAGAAGACCAAGGAAAGCCCGTAGCACAAAACGGCTTTACATCGAAGACGCTTTGATGCGCTTCTCTGCAGCCATCAAGCAGCATCGCTCAGGCACATCGCACAACGTAAAAGCTCTTTCTCCTCTACGTGCTCCTGCTCCCCCCATGCTCCTTTTCAACGCTACTCTCCAAAACAAAACTCCACGGTGCAGATAATTCATTCCGGTACGCCTCTCATTTCCAGGACCACTTTGCAAAGGCAGTTAAAAAAAAACAAACCACAACAGTACAAAGTGAGAGAGCCCAGCAGAGAGACGTCTGACCGTGCAGCTGCAGCTCATTTCAGTGCACGCGAATGGTGCGAGGGCCTGGTGAGGAAAAACCCCACGGACTTTGTGCGATCTCTCCAACACGTGTAGCTCAGAGGGGAGGGAGATGCTGCTGTGCGTGGAGTAACCGTGGTGGAAACCCTTCTCTCTGCAGAGGCACGACCAGGTTGTGCAAAGGCTTGCGTGGCTGAGCCGGCAGCCCCAGCACCGCTGCTGCGGCAGGAGGGCAAACGATTTATTCTTGGGGTGGCCAATGCTCCTGTCCTCCAGCGCTGGCTTTTAAGAAGGCATCACCAGAGTCTTCTGGAAAAGCAACAAGTGAAGTGGGACATCTCAAGCCCCTGCAGCTGAGATGAAGCCCTAGAGGAACCAGCTGCTGCAACAGCAGTGAGAACAAGCTGCCCAGCAGCAAACCCAAATAAATTAAGAGTCAATACCATCTTTGCTGGAGAATGAAAGGTTAAAACCATACCAGCAGCTGGTTGGGGATAGGCTTTTGAGGCAAAGCTGCCATTCCGTGCCTGCTAATTGTTATGTTTTCCAAAGATTTCATCAACTAAGTTGTATTCAACAAACTGCTATTTAATTACCAGAGTAGAATCTTGTTAATTAGCCAGCCCCAGAAGACAGCCCTTCATCCCTGTTAAGTGAAATTCCCAATTAATCCCTCCAGCAGCAGTTGTGTCGCAGCCTGGGGAGCCACAGAGAGCTATTAGAGATGCCCCAAAGTCAGGGGGAACAACCAGAGTTCGGCCTCCGCCTGCTGCCAGCAGCCACCTTCAGCCCTGGGAAGGTGCAAACCAGCACAAAAAGTGTGATATTCAGAAGTAAAAATGAATGAATAGCATTCATGCCTCTTACTGTTTCTCAGCTGTCCCTCCTGGCTCCATTTGCTTCAGCGGCTTCAGCCACAGCCCAGCCAGCATCTCCTCTTGCCCCAGGGCCGGTGCTCCCGCTGCATCCCTGCGCTGCATCCCTGCCTCTGCACAGCCCATGCCTGTGCCCACGTAAGAGGCCAGCAGCTCTCCCTCAGCCAGCTCACCACCCTCCTCCGCCTAACACCATGTAGCATCAAAGCTTTCCCCACGAAGAGGCCATGAGCATCTCTTACAAGGTGCCAGGAGCATTTCTACAGCCATCCCGAGCTCTCCCACCACCTCTCGTCTCACCTGGCTTCCCAGGACGGAGGACAATCCCCAAGCGACAGTAACTCTGCACTCAGCAGACCTGGGTGGCAGGACAGGTCCATCAAGGATCTGAAGTTCCTACAAAATTTGTAAAAACAGCCTGGGTAAAGGAAACAAGCACTCCAGCTACGAGAAAGTCTTCCCTGTGACCTGCCGCCCCAGCAAACACCAGATAAAACCCAAGGGCACTGTCCCAGTGTGGGCAGGAATCACCCAGGGCTTGTTACCACCCCAAGAGGGAAGCAGGTTTCTTCAATTCAGCTAATGCATTAACCCGGAGTTTCTTTGCAGTCTGTCACCATGGAAGTTAAATGTTTTAATTTTATGTCAAAATGCCAGCAGAAATTAATTTTTATAGGAAGTTGTAGGCTCTTCTTTGATAGCCATTTAAACAAATTAGATGATTTTGAAGTAGGGGGGAGGTTAATTTAATCAGGTCAATAAAGCAAATCTCCAGGTGAAAATAATAAATACTTAAAAGACAAAAAAAAATATTAACTGTTCAACATCATTTGGTATAAATACATCTGTGCTATGGAGATCAGTAGGGATGAAAGGATAGTTCAAGAAGTCTACAAAGTGTTTAAATTAATGTTGCAAAATTCCAATATGCAATTTGTCATGTTCCTGTAAACTTGCATTACTCATTTTGATTCAAGCCCAATTTTGGGTTGTGGCATATAATATGCTGAATTTTAGGTAGAAGATATCTGTCAACCCAGACTCTAAGTAATAACAATTATCATCAGAATTAAGCCATACAGAAAAAAAAAATCCTGATTTTATAGAATAGGGATTTAGAACAATGAAAAATTGGCAACAGTTCATAATGTGGATTTTGGTGGCCAATGTGCAGCTGGGGAGCTATGGCTAGGATAAAGTCTCTCTCAATCTCTAGGCAATGTTCAAGCAGAGAGGTCTTTCGTATTGAAGTGGCATGCAAGGCAACTACATAAAAATAACTTCCTTCAATAGGATGAATAAAGTAGTATCTTAAATTAGCAAGTTCCAGTGACATCACCAGATCACCCACTTCTGCCAGAAAATCCAACCCGACTGAAGTCAACGTCCGTGCTCAAAACAGACCTGGAGGAGAGGTAAGAGGCTCTGGCTTCTTTCCAAAAGTAAAACGAAGCAGAAGGTGAGGTATGTGATTAATTCTCCATTAGTATTCCACTCAAATTTCCTCCAAAGACAGGGAAGTATTTCAAGTCAGAAATCTTGCTCATCAAGCTGTTGAAAAAACGTTTCTCAATGTTTTCTAGCCCTCACTTCTCCGAAGTCACTTTGACTCTCTCATGCAGTCTGGAGGCTGTCCCTGTGCACAGCACCTGCGAGGATCAGCTAACATTTCAGTGGTAACGGGTGTCCTGGGGCCTCCCTCTACCCATTCCCTGGAAAAAGAGAATGGCAGAGAAATTCCCTCATTGCAGAGAAAAGTGAGGGCCACAGTAACGAGTTCATTTCACCTTGCAGGGAAAGCACCTTCCTACATCCCCTTATTTCCCAAGAAGGCTGGGTATCTCCACACAGGAGTCGACGGGTGACGATGTACCAACAAGAGAAACTACGCTGAGTTTCAACCCTGTTTGTAGTTAAACATAGATTATTTTTTTTAACAGAATCTCAGACAATTTAGAGCTAATCCAAAGGGAGCAATATTATGAAAAGAAATCCTTGCAGCATTAGATATACCTTGGAAAGTCACAGTGGTAAAAATTAATCTAAGCAAGGCTAGCTGGAGTACTTCATACACTTTCACTGCAGTGTGAATTGAAAAACATCATATAATTGAACTGGTAATACTCTCTATCCTTTTTATGTTGAAGCCTCAATCTAACTGCAACTCAAAAATAGCTCAAGTATTAACAGAATACATACAAGAGATACTACTAATAAGCTTCGGGCCTCCTTTCTGATTTAATAAGACAAAAAATTGATTTTAAAATATTTTTAATCTATGAACAAAACAGCTTCTAAGAGAGTAAGTTTTACCGAAAAATATACAGGTGTAAAAAAGCAAGACTGGTAACATTTAATCTCAGAAAGCAGTTACAGAAGCAAGACAGTTGGATTTTAGAAAATTTGTTTAATTAATAATGCTCATTAACTGCATAGTCTTAATTCATTAATACAGATGAAGTTGTAAAAAAAAAAACAAACCTCAGATGTGCGATTCTTATTGTTAAATTTATTTGATTTTAATGGCTGCCTCTTAATATATTAAAGATGTGGAAATCAGTGCAACTTGAGCAGTTGTCAAACAAAAACCTCTTAAACAATGAAGTAATGCTCAGCGGAGTGTACATTCATCTCTACCTTGCAGCTTCTCCTTGTAAAAGGAACTGCATCAATCTTTGGTAGTGTATTAAAACAAACCAACACCTCAAAGAATTAATACAGACAAATACTTAAGGATTAACACCATTTATATTCATATTCATGCTGCAACACAAAATCCATGTCTTTTCTGTATTTTTATTTTTTTTTAAAAAAGGTCACTTAGGAAGTCTTGATGGCTTGAACCTACATAGGAAGGGATCTCTTCCTTTGCACTGAAGTCAACAGCAATTCTGGTACTGACCTTTGTGGGTGCACGCACGGGCCTAAAGCACTCACAGAAGTGTGAGGGATGGATCCAGTTAGTTTAATGCATTAGATATGACTCATGACACTTTTTCATGAATGTGCAGAAAAATACCACAAGAAAGCATACAAAATAGAAACATTAAAAACCTATCCCCTCTTATTTAAGAGAAGCGTGGAGTTTGCAGGGTTTCCTACTGAAAGATTTCTCATTCTAGTCTGAACAAGGGCTATTCTGAAATCAATACAATTAAAACACATTAACATCCTCCCACAGATGTTAGTCCCAATATAAATGTGCTTTCTTTAGTTATTTGTGTAGTGAACACTTCACTATTTACATTTACAGTATGTGTGCTGCTGTCGGTGCAAGACCAGATTACATTGAATGCTAGAATAAATGCAGTGCAATTTCTTTCTCTTGGGACAAAACCAGTGAGTAAATCTTAACACAATAGGAATGTTTCAAAACAAAAATTGAAAACACATTTCACCCAGCCAGTATTCCTCTACGTACAGCACATCTAGGAAAAGTAGCATACCATCTTTGTGCATGTTTGCATTTAACTACGTACAGTACAGAAGAAATGAAAGCCTGCTGTCTTAAGGAAATAGGAACAAATATAATCTGACTGAAAAAACAAGTGGCCAAATTATCTTTTTAAAGAAACAATGAAGAATTTAAAAACCCAACCAAACAAGAAGTAGTGAATTGAGCATTTAGCAGTCAAGACAACTGTTTTTCCTCATTTTCAGTAGCAATAGCCCAGTCTGAAATGTTAGAAACTCAAAAGGACCAACTGCATGTAGCGCTTCTGCAGGGCTTCCACCATCCTTCTCCTTGTCCAGACCACCTCAGAACACCAAACAACAATGAACGAGCTTGGCACAGACTGCCCTTAATGTTTTCCACGTCAGCCTTCAAAAGCATGATGGTCTCTGTGTGCTAAAGAGAGAAGGAAAAAAGAATAAAAGAACATGTAAACTCTGTCAAGGAGTTGAAAAGATTAAAAGAAGAGAAGACAACACTGTACAAAGCTGTCAAGGAAGACACAACATGCCAACGAGTGATCTTTGGGAATATACTATTCTGTTAATACATTTATAGAGAGCCTAAAATAGGAGATCTCTTAAAATTCTGATTGTAAATGGTTCCTCTAAATGAATACTTAAATTGAACAGCTTGTAGTCTTGAGAGTTATCAAGAGATTTGTCTCACTCATTTTACAAATCAGGCATATTAAACATGAAACCAAATACATTCTACAATTAAACTAAAAATATCTTATATTTTGAATGATAGCTAACTTTTACATTGAAGGGACATAATTTTAAGGCAATGAGAGATGCTATGTTTCTAAATGGTTCATGATGAATCAGGCAGGGTATTCCCATGGAAATACCCTACCAGCATCTTGTTTCTCTAATGAAGGTGGAAATTAACAGTACAAAATACGTACGTTTATAAAAGACCGCTTTAAAAGATGTGTGTGGCAGAAGTTTATGAATCTTTTCTAAAACTTTTGCTTCACTTGCTAAAGAGGCATTCACGTTCCAGACTTGCACAACATCTTCACGGTCACGAACGCTGATGCTAACACCTATTACTTCATCATCTGCACAGAAGAAGCAGCATCATTAACAAATACTTTAAAAGTGAGACATGTCTAATCCGATACTTCTGTATTATGAAACAGTGCCCAAAAGCTGAACAAACTGAAGAAACATGAAAGAGCAATCTCTAGCAAGGAGAATACCAGTGTTGAAACCAGACAAAATAGTTACCAGAAAGAAACAAACACTGTATTTATAGAAGCTATTGGAAATACTACCTCATAGTGGTTTTAATGAAGTGCCATAGGATTATTCATCTTTGCTATTAGCACTCTTATACTTGATTAGAAGGAAGTCACAAGACTCCCTTCAGTAAAGTTAGCAATATAAACTATTAAAGATAATTTACCTACAGTAATGTCTATAAGCAAAAACAGGGGGTGGGGGGTGAGGGTGAAACAACTGAAGCCCCAGGAACAGTACCTGGAGAAGATCAGACACCAGCTTTTCCAGACTTTGCTCTCTTTTTCCTTTACATTTTGTCAAGGCAGCAACGGAATAAAAAAGAAAAAAATTAATAAAGCCCCAGTCAGGCTGCCGCTGCCAGGGTTGATAACTCCGTGATTCGCTGATAAAGCCCTTTTTGGTGTGAAATTCTCAGGATGCAGCTTTGTGGAGAACTCAGCTTAAGGCCATGCTGTGGCTGGGAGCGGTGGCTGCCTCCAGCAGTGACCTCCACGACGCAGCTGCACCGGGCATCCTAAGGAAGGGGTCAGTAACAATAATGCAAAGGTGGTGTCAAGAACACACGGCCAAGGGCAAAAACTACCTCTCTAGACAGCAGAATATAGTATTTTCTTAAATTGACCCCAAGACCACCCTATCAGTATATAAAGGGCAGGAACACTCCCTTCTTGCCACCAACTCAGTTATGCATATTAAGGATTTTGAAAAGCACTATTGGAAACGTCTCTCACAGCTCAAGGATTTGAGGCTTGTATTCTGTATCTTCCAAATGTGAAAGCTGGCAAGGCAACGAGAGAAATAACACTATTTGAGAAACTCATTCAACAAAACTTTTGTAGAAAAAATAAAGCCACCAAGGCAAATATACCAGCAGCAGCCTACTGCAATATGCCTGCTCTACCGTATTAGCTAGGTGTAAGAGAAACTGTTTGAAAGCCTTTGGCTGAACTGCTCTGTGAACCCCAGAAATGCAATGCCTTTCTCCAGAATGACAGAGCAGTGAAGGAACACTCCTAACGGGCTATTCATCATCACTGCAACAGCCAGTTTAATCATATATTCATGCTCAGGAGAGAAGTAAATATGGTCAAAAGAAACAAAGGAGAGCATCATTTGAACTGAAAAGTTAGTTTAGTAACCAGCTCCCAGAACGCCTTCCATCTAGGCCAGTGGATCAGTAAGTTCATCATTTGCTTCACCCAGAAGCAACAAAGCGTTCTGCAACTAAACCTTAGCGAATTAAGTGGTCAGACTTGTGCTTGCTTTTCATGGCTAAGCAGCAGCATTTGATGATCTATCTTAAGCCAGCTAGCATTCACAGTCCCTTCCCAGTGTCCATTTCCAAATGAAACGTGCAACCTTGCAAGCCCAGAGAAGATATTTATTCTGAAAGCGACTTCGCTAAATTATTACCTCTGACCAAAATCACACGTGAGCTTCTGGATTATTAATGCCTGTTTTCCAGTAAACCAGCAAAGTATTTTAAGCATATTTATGTAAGTTCAATTGCATTAAAAACTACCTTGACCTAAGCAGTATTTTTAAGCAATAATGAAAATATTCCCTCTGGGTAGAGTGCTCACCTGGGATTCAGGAGAGCCAGGTTTGTGTTTCAGCCCTGCTATGGGCTTTTAATGTCACCACAGGCAAACCACGCAGCTTCCCTCTGCTTTGGGTCTGCACTAGTGTTTCCCCTAACTCCTAACCAGGAGGGACCATGAAGGCTAATGGGGGTATCTATTTAATTTAGTTGCTTCCAACAGTGATAGTACAAACAACTTGGACGGAAGTGTCATTTGGGGTTCCAGAATCCTGTCATTGGAAGATGAATATTAATCATTTAAATACTGGCTAACAGATAGATATTTAATAACTAGAAAACCTGCTGGCTTCCTAGGGATGCAAGCTGTTGAGCTTGATTCTTGTGCTAAGACAGTGAGAATACTTTGTTCTCTTCTTAATGGCAACAGGTACGAATATGATTTCCAGCCCTGTACCCCATTTTTAGCAGTTTTTCCATGTTCTGTATTCAAACTCAATTTGTCATGCTAGCCTCAATCATTTTTAAGTTACCTGCTGCACAACAACCTGTAAACTGCTCTCCAATAGTTGCTAACAGTAGCTCTTTCCAAACTGCAGCCTAAGGAGGTGGGGAAAAAAGAAAAAAGTTACATTTGCATTATTATTTTTTAATTTGAAAGTTAGGTTTGCTAGCTCAGTTTTGAGTGCATTCTCTTTCTGAGGTTGTCTAGACAAAAAAAGAGTATTTATTGTAAGAACACGCTGTGTCATGTAATTAATTTCCTCGATCCAATTGCAGCGAGAATTTAGACCCTGAAAATACATACTGTTACACAGAGTTGTTCTTATAAATATTTTAAATGTTTAACAATAAGTCTACCTTCACAATATCTATGTCCACGACTCATCCTGAATGGACTCATTGATGTAAAGCCTGAAAGCGTATTTCTCCCAAGAATTTCCCATGATAAAAGACCATAAAGCTCCACTTGTGATCATTTGTTTCTACAGAAAAGAATTACTAACCACTTTAAGAAAAGTACCCAAAAACCCTACCAGTCAATTAGATTGCTTATATTTAAACATCATCTCTGATTTGCCTTGACTACAAACCAAGTCCATCTTTCAACAAATTCAAATGCTCACTGGAGAATTAAAACAGGGGGAAAAGCTCTCTGCCACTTTAATTTGTTAGACTAATTACACTGTTACTTGCTTTTGACACTTGTTGTCACCCAAGCCAAAGCCCATACAAAACTTGGAATGCGTCTAGACCAACATAATGCTCCAAGGTGTGGGTTTACAGGGACAGAATTTTCTTTTTTTTTTTTAAAAGAACACATCAACATGTGTATTTGTTTACATCACTATAATGACTTTTTAATATACTACTTTTGAGGAATGTCTTTTCTGCTGTATGAAGCTAGCTTGAGTTTTAATACTATTAAAAAACCCAGCAAGTCAAAAGTACCAGGTTAAAACAAAAAGCAAGCGGCCACAAAGGTACAAACTACTCAACTGCTTTAATAGCGTTTCTGAGTACTCCTAAGCCATCTTTTAGAATACTCAGGATTTCTGTTACTCATTATCATCTAATCCAATGCATCATATAAAGCTGCGCTATGGGAAGGACCATCTGATGGCGATGGCTCCCAAGGCAGGCTGAAGATGTTGATGTGACAGCCTCTGACACGGTGCCTTTTGCCTGCCAGTGGAAGGGCTCAGAGATGAATGATGGGACTGACCACGCACACTCATTACCAGGCGCAGTGCTCACTACTGTGAGTTGTCCTAATGGTCTCAAGGGTAGGAAGCACTTCATCCAGTAGTAAGCAGTTGCAGGATCAGGCTTATGAGGATCTAAAAAGTATTAGTTTTCATATTAAAAACTGGCATACAGAAGTGTCACTGTACACATGCAACAACATCTAAGTGTCAGTACTTTGTCAGTCAGATTTTCATACCACTAAAAGACTGATGTCTTTAGAAAAAACTACATTTTCCTCCCTCCACACCCTCACCAAGAGCTGCTATAGCATAACCGTCTTTTTGAGTTAGGCCTGTACAAAATGGTTCATCTTAGCCAAGGCAATGCTGTGTGCACATGTGACAAAGAATGAAGCCAAAAAATGAGAAACAGGCATAAAGGTATTATTTATGCTATTTACAGAGGCACTAAAAGCCGACTGAAGATCACCTTCAATTAAACCTTTCAGAAGTGACCTGGGCTGTGTGGTACGTAGTTTGGGAGATCAAAAAGTACCTTCATTTCAAAAAGGAGCTGTCATTCAGCCTCTGAAAAACAAGGCCTCTGAGGTCCCTAAATTCACTACCCAGTAATGCAGGCTCCCCAAACCACATGTCACTTCTGACAATTTTCACACCTTGGATTATAAGAGGAAAAAGAAAATTTCAGTCTTTTGTGATCACTTGGGACTGCAGCGGAGGAAAGCTGCAGTTCACATATGGGGAAGAAGCCCACAGGCAAAAATCAATTATCTTTTGGCTGAAATTTCAAGTACCATCTTTCAGCATTTAATGCCTTCTGCAAGGCTGTCACATTTTTCTGACACTTCACTTTTCGTGTTTAAAGGCCTCATCCGGAACACACTTACACACATAAACACCACGTGTCAAGAGGTCAAATCTCCTCGCTGTGACAGCTCACAGAAGTTACTCACATGCATTTGATTAGGGGGACAAAGAGAAACTCAATTATTTCAGCAGGGCTAGAACAACGACATGCCTGAACAGATTTTATCTTTCACATTTTTAGATTCCAAAAAAAAAAAAGTGAAGAAAAATGAGCAGCACTACAGTTTCACAAGATGCACACACGGTGATCTGACAACTCACTGTTGCCAAAGGGGATGATCCTACTTGTCTCTTCTCCTTTACCCCCTACGCCCATCAAAAAACTCTCCTGGCCATACACTCAAATTAAAAATAAAATAAATAGGAGACTTTTTGTGACATCAGAGTGCATTAAGCTGGCTCACAAAACGGTCCGATGAGCACCAGAGCCACTGCAAAAGGGATCAGGAGAGAATGAGCAAGATCTTCCCCCTTCCAGTGGGAGCAAGCCATGAGATGGGATTACCTATCGATGGAAACAATGCCTGGGTCCGCGTTTGGCTACAGAAAGTCACGGCGCAACTCACAGCCATACAGAGGTGCCAACAAGCCATGCCAAGCAGAAATAGTCCTCCCGAGTTTCAGCTGAAATGTTGTTCTGGACTGCGTGTGTGGACTTTTGAAGAGCATTACTGAGGTTCTGGCTATAATTTAGGACATAATATTATCAGGAAAAGATTTTTGTGTGGGTTTTTTTTGCAGGCCTATAAGCAAACAGTCTTGAGAACAAAGGTGATTACAAAATACTGTTTCCAAATGGAAATGGAGTATAAAACTGCAGCTTTCATTTGCTTGATAACACATCGACAAATGTTATCAAAAGCAAGAGATACGGAATTACTGGAAAATAAACTTTTGCTCATTGTCTTAAAATAAAAGGTTATAGACGTTAAAAGAGTGTTTGTTTGTTGTGTTGAGTGATGTCAGAACTAAAAAGCTTTACAACAGCTTTATCAGATGGAGTTTCAAGAAACCCCCTTACTAAACAAAGTCTAAGAAAAAAGTCAATATAACATACCGTACTTTCTTTAGGGACCTTCATTTTCCATATACCTCCTTTGGCATTGCTTTCCTCTTCCCTGGTTATGGGAAATAGATCAGTGAAAATAAACATTCAAATCTACATCTAGATAATCCTACGTTTGGGGGTTAATTTTCCCAGAAAAATCCTATCTGAAATGCAATCACTAACTCCAGGTAGCATGACTCAAGCTATGACTTCTGACCTCAGAGATAATTCTTTCATTGTTCATACGAAGTGTGTCTCTCAACACTTAATCCCTTTCCTAAGTTTTGTGTGTTGGAAAATCCTTACGTTTTCCCTGACTACAGACCATCTTTGAAGTGACTGCACACCATATGGGAACAAGCCATAAAACAATTTTATATTTTACTATAGTAACCTTTTATTTTGGAAAAACTGGCATATTTTCACAGAAGCAGCTTATTACTCTCAAGTTCATCCAATGTAACAAAAGAACGCGAGCACACTTCATTTCAGTTTTGTAACAGCTAGAAATTAATTGCCCTTATTAAAAAAAAAAACCAAAACGAAGCTGCCCAAGGTCAGGGCAGACTTAACTGTTAAACCACCTTGTAATGACAAAGGCACAACGTACAAACCTGTGAGCTCCTCGAGTTTATTCTGTCACAATTGTTTTTGTAAGGTTTTAAATCAGGGCTTCTAGTTTCCTGTTAAAACTCTGTAAAAGCAAAGTTAAAGGAATAACCTAAAATTCATCTTTGGAATATCTAAATCCAGTATGAAACCTATAGAGGTTCCCCAGGACCAGTGATCTCTCACCAATCCAGACAAACACTGGGGAAATGAGGGGGAAACTTTGGAAGGACATCTGCAAAAATCTGCAGTCCTCAATTCTTACTTCAGAATTCGTTTTTCTTCCTAAAAAACAATGCTGCAATTGGGTGGTATACTGTAACTGTAATCTGAAAAAAAGCTTCTTGGCAGTAAGTACTGAAAAGTTAGTGGGTTACTGATGAGATCAATCTCTTGCAATCCCTTTCCTAAAATACAAAATTACATTGACAGCCTTAAAATAGATGTATCACTTTCAGAAATTATCTTTGCATTTCACACCTCTAATAGTCACTTACCAAATCAAAGTAAACAAAAAACAAAAGAACAAACTCCAAAATGTTCTCACTCATCCTTACAAAGACATGAGGACCCGCATGCAACGGCTCAGTTCATTTATACAGACACCAATAATTTTTCAATCCCAGTTTAGCTATCCTGACCAGTCACAGTATTTTTAGAAAAGTAATGTAGACCTTCAGATGCATTTCACTTTAGAAAATTATTTACTTCTTCAGTAGATTAGGACAGAAATCTCCCGTAGTAAGTCACCACCCAGTTAGACATACTACAATCAAGTTAAAGAACTCTAATCCAATCAAAATCTACGCAAATGATGACAAAAAGATCAAAACTCTTCAGAAAGTGCTTAGGCTCTCTAATTGAGATGTGACAGAACTGCACGAGGAAGGTATGCAAAACTCAGTTTCTGAAAAGAAAACATCAATTATTTACACTTTAATCCATTACTATTCTACAATCAAGTAGGAATTTGCTGCAATGAATCACTTCATAATGTCTTAAATTAGTTTTAATCCAAGGTATATGTGCATTTATATGCGTATGAGGCATACTTTTGCACAGGTGAAGAACAGTGAAGGACCATCAGTCGTTTGTATTATTCTGCCACTAGCTTCAGTAGAAAGAAAAAAAATTGCAAGTTAAAATAATTCAAATAGAAGTAACATATTCTGTGTATTCTCGAATTAAAATTCAGAGTCATATTTTAATTTCCCAACTTCTATTTCATAATTTAATTTCTTTCTTACATTTACGTTCAGAGGTGCACAATTAGATTAGTCTGTGTTTTTAATGAAGACTCTTTAGTACAAGTCACTAAGCTTAACAAAATCCTTAGGATATTTCTTTCTTAGGTCTCTCAAATTCAGGCGTTTGCAGGCAATAGAAACAAGATGCTCCTGTTCCATGCCTGCCTTCTTTCACCACTTCAGGTTTTTTCACTGTCCATTCCCAGAAATGTCTAATGGTAACATACGTACCAAAGCGGCCGCCTTTCTCCCCGCATTAAATGGTAACTACATCTCAGAGGCAAATTTGTCACAGGAGGAATGTTGTTGTAGACACTCCAGAAATCCTTAAAAAGAAAAAATACTAGTTGCATTAACACAAGAGTAAGTTTCATGCAGATTTACTTCCTTGTTCATTTTCTCTAAAACAATTACATATCCTGCTCCTAGAGAACTGGCACCTTCTATGTTATAATAAAACACTCTGAAAAGAACCTGTTGCAATTTCACTTCTACTTTATTTTTTTAGATGCCAATTCTGCATAAGGAGGAGGTAGAAAGAAGGGAAGCAGTTGAACTGTGGATTACTTTAGAATCAAAGTCCTTAAGAACAGAGAGAAAAAAAATAATCAAAATCAGAGTTACACTAAGTATGTCAGAACAAACCATTACATAAAACTTCCTTAGCATATTAAAAATATACACTTATATCAAATATCCACCTTGCTTCACTTAAGACTAGTCTAAACTTCATTATGCTTATCTTGAGTTACAAAAACACCGCGAACAATAACTCTGTTGAACTAAATGCCTAACTAATGCTAGCAATCCAACTCCTTTGTCTAGATCACAGTGAAAAGTTTCAACCAGATGCAAAGAACCTGAGATGCACATATTAATACAGGAACGGGGGAGAGATTAGAAGCAGCAGGTTACCAGGAACCATCGGATTACCTCCCAGCGTTTCTGCTGGCAAAAGCAGAAGCTGTCATGTGTGTTTTGGGTGGATAAAAGACACCCAAAAGCAGTGGTGAGCAACAGGGAGGGATGACCGAAGAGATCCCAATCCCCTTTCTTCTTTATCCAACAGTTGGGAATAAGAAAGGATTTTTTTAAAGACTTACATTGCATTAACATGCAGTGATGCAATATTACGCATTAGGACAACCCATTAAGTATTATCCCATATTTAATCATCAGCACAACTTTAGAAACAAACATTGCAACACTATGTGACAAAATTTTGTGGCCCTTAGCAATTTCACCTACCAGCCGTTACCATTGCCCAGTCAATAAGAAGAGATGGAAGACTAGTAAAAATATGAAAAATTGGTATGAAACACCCATTTCAGTTTTCATCTTACTCCTACCTGGTTGTGTGCCCAAACTCTACAGCTACTGAAGTAGAAGGAGCAGAGCTATGCCAGCAGATGACCGTGGAAAGCTTTGAGAGCTCTTATGTCCTGAACCAGGGACTGAGTTTGGAAGGTTTTGGTTTTCAAACTTTCTTCAGGCAGTGCAGGCTGGCATTGCTCACTGACTAGCTACTGCCCATTAAGGACAACGATGAAGTCAATGAGGATTTTCGTTTTGCTTCCCCAAGGAAGATCATGTTATGTGTATGATAGCACAGTAAGACATATCACAGGCCATGCTGCTAGCTTCTGATCACTTCATCCAGCCCAAGAGTCTTCCCAGAGGATCTGAAGGACTTTTTTGTATTTTCAACCCCAACCTGACGAGACAAACCTCAGGTTTTTCAGGCAATAACCTAATCATTTAAATAACGAAGGCTGGATTCGGAGTGGCAAAATGGATCACACCGGATACTGCACACACCACTTTGTGGTTCCTTTTTTAACAGGAACCACTGCAGCCCATTTTGAAACAAACCCATTAATGTTGTCAACTTTAAGTTCAGAGTGTCACTTCTTTACATGGCTGATGGAGACATTCTGCTGACACACAGAGGCGGGAGGGAACCTTTCCCAGGAGTCTGCAGGACATTTCCATGCTTTATGCCAAAGTACTTCCACTGATAACCTCGTCTCTAGAAAACTCTGAAAGCCAATTCATTTCTTAGGCATATTAGCTAGGAAGAAAAAAATCTCATGCAATGTAACAAGTTGTGCAGACATTAATGATTAAGTGTCATTTAAAACTTCAGTAGATCACTACAGCTGGGCTCCTTCAAAGAGACGGTTTTGGCATTACCTTAGAATTTCAGAGATTTAGCGAACTAGAGTCAGCTCAGCATTAAGGTGAGACAAATACCAATTCACTACATTTTATGCTAACTGTGGTATTAAAACAGAAATGCAATTTTCCTTGCAAGAGATGCCCACTGCTCGGCACTGGCAGATGATACAGACGTGCAGAATTTCTCATTGCTGCAAGTATTGTATGATTTAAAAGTACTTTAGTTCAAGTCAGTTTGCTAGATTTTTTTTTTTTAATTCATGCTCAAAGAGAGAAAGAACAAAAAAACCCACAAGTTGTAATTTTTAGTCTTTCTGTAATGATTTTCCATATTGAAAAAAAAATGGAGAAAAGGCAGAAAAAAATACTTAAAAGACATCAAGTGTAACAATCCAACAAAGGTACAAATGGAAACTCAGGAAAGTTTAAGAAAAGGGGGCTGGCCTGAACAATCCAATATGCTTCCTCCTTTCCTGGCCTAGAAAGCCAAGTGAAACTCAAACAATGACCAAGCAATACCACACACAACCAAACCCACGTTTCGTACCACAGGTAAGCAAAGCCGCAAGTGTGACTCATCCATATGAGGAAAAACGAAACTTAAGGTGTGAAGTTACATTAATAACATATGGCAACTCCTATAGCAAAACTGTACACCTTACCTGTACTGTTTGTACTGTATAAATCTTCTTCAAATTTGATGCACATTCAGCCGCTGTCGTACCAGGAAGTGACCTTGGAAACAAAGTAGAGATTAATAAAAATATTTATTTTATCAAGGGGGAGGAAAAGGAGATGGAAGGGGAAAGTGAATCACATGAGCATGAAGTTTAAATATTCACATTTCAAAGTTGCATAATAAACTCCAACTCCAATTATCATGAGTCATTTAAAGACAGGAATTCAAGTGATTTTCTACTTTTCAATAAATTAAGATTTACCAGGTATTTTGTAAAATATTTTGATTAAACAGGTGAATTGGGAGTTTTAAACCAAGAATAACAGTGCTCCTTCTAACGGCCACCCCACAGCCCTCTGCTGTTAGGCATCAAACAACGGTGCTGCAGTTCCAATGAGAAAGGCTATCAGGAAGGGACCGCAAGCCCCTACCCCGGCGTTCTTTTTATTTGCATTTAATACAACCCAGAACCATCCTTGAGCATTTCAAGGCACTCTCAGCGTTTCATATTTTTAAAAAAGAAGCTGATCCACAGGCTCTCTATAATGAACCAGAATGATTTCCTCAGCAGCCACGGCCGGCCGGGGCGGAGGTCAGGAGGTGGCATGGGTACAGAGCGGCTGGGGGACCCTTCCCTCACACCGCCCCGCAGCAGCACCCCGATCACAGGACCTGGTCAAACCTAACGCCTGCGACAAGCACCTTGGTATCCCCAACTGGATGGGACACCAAGTCCCAAAGGACAGCTCTCTTTCCTGGTGTGGTGAGCCATATAACCCAACACATGCAGGAAACCTCCAAGCCTTCAGGCAGCTCTTCCATCACTAGCATTTATTTCTTCAAGCCATGTCTGCTACCAGCACTTCCCATAGAGCCAAGAGGTCCTTGGGCTGGTTTCATTGCCAAACCTTAAGGTTACACCGACGTACATCAGGCACAGTTTAACTTCTTCAGCTCACCCTCATACTGACTATCCCCAATTCCCATTCAGAGCTGCTCCCTTTAGCCACATATAGCACCAACTGCACCCCATCACCTCAGAGGTCTTTTCCAACCTAAATGATTCTATGATTTTATTCATAACCTTCATCACGACTCTTCAGTGTACGCGACATGGGACGGTGCATCCACTTCCCCACCCATCACTGTCTCCTGTCACTGCACTAATGGCACATCGTAACACCCATCTTACAACTCCCAGCACACACCCCCACGTGCACAACTCAGAGGAATGAGGTCAAAATTGCAAAGGTACATTCAATTTGTTAGAACGGGAAACATTCTGCCCCCCCCCGCCCCCAGAAGCTGAAGTAGGATATTTCTAAAGAAAAATGAAGATCAAAGACAAAGCAACCTCCCATTGCATCTCAGAAGAAGAAACAAAAATATGTCAAATGACTTAAATCTGGAAACAAAAGCAACACAACAGATTTAAGGAAACAGAAGAAAACCACAGTTGTTGTTCAGGTACCTGCCTGAAAAAAGGGTAAGAGCAAACCAGATCTCAGTAACTCTCCCATCAATGTGGCTGTTTGTCTTGGTACGTCTGATCAGCATGAAGTATGTCCAGGAAAACACTGAAGTTACTCTCAGTTGTTAGAGATCTAATTTAGGCTCTAGGGCAAAAACTAGATATTCATGTAAAGGAAGAAATTTAATATGCAAAGCTACTGCAACAGCATCACATCTTCAAAACTTTAATAATAGCTCCAAGGTTTTTTGAAGGCTCCTACAAGTATAGTTTAAAAATGCATACAAAATCAAAGAAATCCATCCCAGCTTTTTCAGTATAGAACAAACTAACATCTAGTTTACTATTTGCCTGTTAATCTCGAGACGTAGGAGTACACTACAATGGTGGAACTGATGAGAAAACTGCTACATGTCCAAATCTCAAAAATCCCTTTAACTAGAGATTATAAAAACAAACAAACAAAACCTCAAGAAATCACTAGTGCACAGGTTCTAGTCCTGTGGCTCAAACTATGAAAACTCCCATGTAAAAACTGATAACTTGAAAACAACAACAAACAAAACTTTCATCAATGTGCTCAAAAGGAATTATGGTAAGGAGGGGTACTTTGTTTTGTTTTGTTTTTCCTTACACTCTACACTCGGCATTAAACAGCGAAACGAGAAATTCACAGTATTTAACAGAAACAGAGCCAGTCAGATGGCTTTTGAATGCACAAAAAAAAAAGTAGTAAGTCAAAACAGACTTTAAAACTTACCAGGTGATTTAACTGCGTCTGTCAGTAGGGAGTAGTGGATTTGCAACAAACTACCCCTTGTTTCTTTCTTGTTTCTGACAGAAGTAGCACCTCTCTACTCACACTTTTTTTCAGGTATAATAGAACACAAACAGGCAAAACCTGAGATAGCTTTGCCTTTTCTTGTCTCGCACCACTGTCCAAGAAATTACTTCTCCTGGGCACTGCTTCTGCCAGTTTGCTGACTTAGCAGTCAGCAGTGCATACGGGGTTAACTTTGCTGTACAACATGTAGTATCATCGCTCTCTATACTCACACTGATACTGCCACTGAGATGCTTCGATAGTAAGGTCTACTCAAATAAACGATTAAAATCTATTCTCTAATGATAGCCTTCAAAGGTTATCTAGATAATCACAGTAGCCATTTAACAAATTCAAGGAGTATTTAAAAGAGCAGTGAAGACAGATAGACAGAATATTCCACTCCAACATTGTAAAATAGTTCATTTTGATAGTTGCAAATAATATTTTCCAGAGAAACTATGTGATCAGCTGGCAGAAAACACCAACCGACCAGCAAATTATTTGTTTTAAAAGTTAAGGTGAGCAACCATTTATTTCTAGTAACTCGCCCAGGAAGTTCTCCATGCCCAGAAGATTACACGGCATTATTTCAGCCTTTCACCCAGCTCTCGAAAGTGTCAGTGATTTATGGGTTTAAGCATGAACTCCCAAACTTCTTTCATTTAAAACAAACAAACAAACAAGTGAAAGGACTGTAGATGAGAAAATGATGACATGCATCAATTTAAAAGTTCAGGATCATTTCCTGCAGAAATTACACCTGCACAAATTTGGTTTAATGGATGAGTATAAGGCAGAGATAGTATTTTAATCACAGAGAGAAGGAAAAAGCCCAGAATTTCCTGCAAAATTACAGACTACCGACAAATCTGAACTGCAGTGTTTCCGCAACAGCCACCCATATACTCAGCAAATCAGTATAGATGACAACTAAGGAGGGTTTGTGCCTTGAAACTCATGCAATTGTGATTTATTTTTTTTTTTTAAGCTGAGCACACAGAATAAGTTTAAATTACGTTAGTAGAAATGGCAGATGACTTCCAAGTGAAGGAATCTGTAGAAATTCCTACTTCTCTAACTCTTCCAGCAAATACTTACACTGTAAGCTAGGAGGAGTAAGATAGTTGTGTGCTCTGCTAAAAACCTCAATACACATTACTACAAAACAAGAACCCTGCAAATACTGACCCTTGAAATGAAGCCATTACAGGATTCCTCCCTTTTGGATAATTTTACTGCCATCAACAATAAAATTAATCCAATGTGCCATATTGAACTGTCAGTTATTGCCACGGTGGACAATTAATTTCCAGGTAACTCAACAGACCTTGCAAACCCCCTAACAGCAGAGGAGGTGGGTCACAGCACCAGCCAGGCACCAATAGCTCTTCTAGGGATGGAGATAGCTGGTCTGTCATCAAACCACCTACAAATGCACATCTGGGTTCCTCATGGAGAGTCTGCACATCAAATATTCAACAGTTCTCCCAGTCTGCCTGTTCTGTGCCCTGTGATGCCACTTTTCTGCATCTTCAGAATCTTTGTTGGGGAAATTTTAGTGCAATATCAGGAATAATCAAGTCACCTAATCAGGCCAGACCCACCGTACAGCATCTCACGGTAAAACCGCATGGGCATCAGTTAAAAGTGGAACACGGAAACAGGAATAGCCTACGTGAACTGAATCCTAATGCCAGCTTGCTTCACTACTCCTTCATTATTCCAGCATGAATAAAGAACAAAGGATACAAAGATAAATTTGATTGTTTCATCCATGAATAGACCTCCAGGTGGTTGTGCTTATGTTAATGTCTGATGCTGAACTGTAGCTCTTCTGTTTCCCTGCAAAGAATTAAGGATAGAAGTTTTTTCATATGTGCTCAACTGGTCTTTGTTTCCCAGTGGGAATCCCATCAAGGCTTTAGCGGGAGCTTTAAAAGCTGCCAAGCACTTTTCAAAATACCCCTGTAAGTACTTAGCCACAACTGCTTTTGGTATAAATAAGCAAAATATTTACTTACAAAGCATAAACTCAAAAACATGCTGTGGCAACTAAATAAATCTGGCAATCCATTCTGAATACAAAGACTGATTTCAAGCCATCAAAGCCTGTCAAAATGCATTTACTGGGTTGAATGTTCTTATAATATTAACCATCATTTTTCATTGTAAGCCACCTACTCATAAGCTTTAATAGATGAAACAAATGATCCTAGATAAATAAAATTTTGCTACAGGGAAGAAGGGAAATTATTAAGTTTAGTTTCAAATATCTGATGTGTTCAGTTATTAAGATTCACAATTATTATGAAAATGGTTCAGTTATCAGAACTTATCTACTGAACTTTATTTATATAGAACTCATCAGTATAATTTGCAGAGAGAAAAATAAGCACATAATACATTTACGTAAGAATATTTTCTCTTTCCTAGAGTAGACTAGTAACACTGCATAATATTTGAAAATGCTTATAAGCATATTCTTCCCCTCAAAGATACAGAAGAGTTAAACTATTCTTGCAACAGAAACAAAACGACCTAAAAAGCACTGTTAGAAGTCAGGCAAGAAGAGAAGGCAGGCAGGTCATGATCCTGCAATGCGATTTGCCCTGCTGCACACTCAGGCTTCCATGGAAGTGAGCACATCTTTGATGATGTTTATCTAGAAATGAGACTCCTGTATTAAGCTTGTGTGTGATGCGTGCTCAATTTCTGATAGCACTGATTTGTATAGAAGGGTACTGGTATTTTCCTTGCTG